AACTTTACATTCACACCTTATTGATTCTCTATTTCTCTGTTTTTTAATGATTCTATGATTTTCAACAAGCTTCTACCTTCACAATGACAAAAAAACTCACACATACTTATAATTCCATTTTGTTTGATGAATCTACCTTTTTCGAACTGAGAACCCATATTGGTATGCATACCTCTTATAAAAGGCAAATGCTTCTTTCTTGTTAAGAAAAATTTGACCAACAAAAAGAACAATATTTATCTCATTATAAGTTTCATCTAGTTCAACTTCTTCTACAAATTCATTTGTCTCAATATTCTAAGTAGAAGACACAATTTTTTTTTCTCATAAGTTTCAATTTCCTCAATTTCTTGTACATTCGGAATAGAAAGCAAAATTTCATGATCAATATGTTCATCAATGGTTCTTGAAATAATCATTCTCTAAAGAAATATCTTCAATTGGATATTCATTTAAATCAACATTTATTTTATTAGTGTTCATATCTCTAGTACTAATACTACTAAATAAGAAAATATAAGCTATGAAGAAAACAAAAATAAGAAAAAAAAATTCTCTGTATGTTGTAAGTGTTAAAGCATATACAGATAAAATTGTGTATTTGAATAAAAATATATTACAAAATAATAAGCTATGAAGAAAACAAAAATAAGAAAAAACAACTCTTTGTTTGTTGTAAGTGTTAAAAGCATATACGGAAAAAATTTAGAAACACATATTGGCAAGAGCTATGAAGAAAACAAAAACATAGGCTTGATAAAATCACTTGATATGGTGCTTTTGAGTTACACAGGAAAGCTTGTGCATTTGAGCTTTGAAGAAATGACAAATCCATGCTTTAATAATTCAATTCATCAATGTGCTTTTCACAGATTGAAATAAATTTAAGAAGACAAATAAATACATTTAGTGTTGCATAAGTGAGGGCAATTTTGGCATAACAAAATTAAAAAGCACATATTTTTATTTTACTAAAGTTAATTGTCTCTTTGTTCAAAATAAAATAGATGGGACCATGAATTATTTATTACTCCTTAACATATGTGTTTAGAGCATATGTTACCATTGCTTTTAAACTAAAGAGGGGGTGTCAAGCATCCTATTAATATAAAAAGGGACACCAATAACATAAATTGTCAATTAAAGATAAGAGAGTTCGTCAATAACATTGAAAACATCTATAAAAAAGTTGTTAGAAGTTGGATATATTGAAATTTCGGAGACAAAGTTTGGTATATGGTATAAAAGTTCAAATTATTATCTATATAGTATATTTTTTGTTTTAGTAATATCTTATTTTGTATCAAATAAAACCAATTCTAATTGTTTTTGTTTTAGCAATAATACAACAAATTTTTGTCGACAAATAAAAAAAATATATGAATAAAATTTGAATTAGAATAAATTAGGTCATGTAATTATTTAAGTTTGACATTTATTTTGAATTGAACGAGTATAAAGTAAATAAAGCTCTTTTGATGAGGAATGATAAGAAGATGTTTATAGTAGGTGTTACCTTCAAACTCTTACGTATAATCTCAATTTCCATGATGAAGACCCAATTTTTTGGATGAAGTCTGGAAGAGGAAACATTGATGATTCATAGGACTTCAGTTTCAAACAAAGTAAATGGGATCCCCACTTCCAAGTCATAAATAATAGTTGTATACATGTAGAAGAACTTGCCCCCGTGTCCTCTATGACATTGATCAAATTGGTCCTCTCACACTCACTGCACGACTCTAGTAAGACGTCAAGTTTGCAGCCAATGGTGGATAGATATAGGCTTTTACAAAACGAGGCTGTTTTGGCCTAACTAGTTAAGTCAGGATGAATTTTGTAAGCCTCGCCACTGAAATGGGGGATGACTCACTGATAAGTGTAAATTGTAACTATTTTTGTATATATTTTTTATTGCACTTATCGACTCTTTGTTGTTAATATTGTTGAATAAACTCAGCTTTTGTGTAAATACGTTTAGTTTGTGTTTATTTGTGTTTTTGTGTACATAGTATACTGTTTGATGTTTTTCCATTTATTTTGTAGGTATTTGTTGCATTTTGGAGCATAGAGGAATAAGTTGTCGAAGGCACGGCTTCAGATGCGCGTTTTCGGAATAAAAGATCAGTTTTGGCAAGTTATGTCCAGGAGAGTCTGCTTAGCGCGCAAAAGGCTGCTAAGCGCGATTGCGCTCAACGTATTTTGTAGTGCGCTGCTTGGATTTTGACATTTTGGCAGAAGCATTGTTTTGAAGCCCGCTTAGCGCGGATATCGCGCTTAGTGCGATTTAGATCGGTTTGCTATGTAAAATAAGGAAGTCGTGCTTAGCGCGCCAGGTCTGTTTTGCGTGATCTGCTGAAATTTATTTTATAACTTCATTTCATTCATTTTTTTAGGTTATGGTTTTAGGGAAATTTTTGCTCCCAACTCCATCAACCTTCATTTTTTGATAGATTAGCTTAGAAAACAACACTAGAGCTTTGCTTATGGATGATTTGAGGTAGATTTCTCATTGCCGACGCTGACAAATTGAAAGATTTGTGGGTTATCTCTCCTTCTTTCTTTGTATTTCTTTTTTGCTGAGAATTATATGTATATTTATTTTGAACTCATATATATTTGTCGCCCATGACGTTGTATAAAACTTGCTGTAAGAATCTTTGTCGATTATTGTCCTAAATTTTTACTCTGTTAGGGATTTGGGTTGTTATAGACATATACTACTCGAGTTCTTATCTAGGATGATTATCTGTTAGTTTCTGAACTCTAGAGATAGATTTAGAGCTGACATTCACTTGAGTATATGTGATTAATGCCTCTGTGTTGGTTGTGTTGCTATGAGAGATCGTCGACGCGATTAACACAGTTGACTTATGTGTTGTTGAGGTGGTTGAGAGATTGCTACTAAGGTGATACAGTTGAACTCTCGATTTGGGTTAGAAATGACTTAGGTTGTGAGTGATACGTATTGACATTGATGAATATTGTAGGTTGAGTATAACTGGACGAAAGGTTTAAGTGTGTGATGAGTAGTGTAGATTCGTACTTGATAAGTTGTCTATCCTTTATAGTTTTTTTTATATACATTTATTTTCTGTTGATACTTTATTTTCAATCCATTTAATCTCAAACTCATTAACGAGAGATTTGTCGAACAACATTTCAATTCACCAATCTCTATAAACACGATACGATATAACATAAATATCATCCAATAAATTAATAATTTACTTTTATTTATCACTTTACTACAACCTGCACTCACCACAGTCACTCTCGTCGTGATGTCAAAGCCATAGACATGTAGTTAGATTCACAAGCATCATAATCAATCTTCGCAATGACCCCGAAATCAAATAACTGCGTAGCTGAGTGAGACATTTTCATTCTCTTTTTTACATATCAAAATACATTAAGTCCTATCAAAAGGAAGGTAACCCCATTGTAACACCTCAAATACAAGAACTAAGATAAACCTTAGAAAATGAAAATAAAATATCTTTCCACATGATAAAGTAACATCAACATCTCAGCTACACATTTTTTAATACCTACGACTTAAATAGATAAAATTATATTGTTTTCTAGATAAAACTACTTATTAATTAAAAATCTAAATCAATCTAAATTAAAAATTGAAAATCAATTTAAAAAATCAAAAATTATAAAAAATTAAAATTTATTAGATGTATTTGAATGTTATTTTATGAAAATCGACCGGTTCAGATTGAATTTTAGATTGAATTTTTAAAATCGATATAAATCAAACTGAACTACATACATATATTTTTATATTTATTTACTTTTTATTAGTACGATATATTACGTAAATTTATTATTAGATGATAATAATTTTTTTAATAATATTTATTAATTTGGTATAATTTATTTATTTTTATTATTTCAACTATATTCGATCACTCTCATTTTATAATATTAATGTTTAATATACTATATATTATATATTATATCAAATCAATGATTTATTAGTAGTTTTATAATACTAATAAAAATATAATGTGTAATTTAAATATCTAACAACCGATTCAAATTAAACCGTTTAAAATTAAGTCGGATTGAATCGAGTTTTTTTAATATATCACCTAAAATCAAACCTAACCGTAAATAAATTTATTTTTGAATCGAGTGAATTTTTGTCTTAAAATCGATTCAAACCGAACTGCGAATATCATTATTAATTAATGCTTTTCTCCTAGCAATTAATTAATGGTTTTTTTTTTGTCTACATAGCCAATATTTAGTATTTTATAAAACACCTGGTTGTCTATAACCAGTTCTTTGCCTAAGAGCATCTTCAATAGATAGTTACTTGTTGATTGTTTAATCATAAGTAATGTTATTTATTTCAATTTGTCATTGAAGTTTGCTTAGTTGACACTCGAACACATTACTTATCATTAAAATATTGTTTTTTATGAAAAAGTGATTTTTTTTTACACATAAAAAATTAATTATTTTTCTTTTAATATAAATAAAATAATATAAATTAGTGGGATCAATTTTAAATTACTTATTTATCATCACCGTTAGAATAAAAATAGTTGAAATTGCTTATAAATTAGTTAAATGAAATGTGGTAATTTAGACCTACAAAATATAACACAAACAACTAAATAAAATACCACCATTGAAGATGCTCCAATTATCTGCACCTTGTTCCACTTCATTGCACCATTTTACATGAATGGCTTAAAAATATATTTCATTTTGAATGAAGAATTACAAATTAGAACAAAAAAAACTGAACTGCACTAACTGTTTAATACTCATCAAAAAGGGACAAACAAAAGTATATAATCACTCCATAAACAAAATTTAGTAACTTCAACATAATGACTTTTCTGTATTCAGTTATAGAAATGAACTGCGCATGACATTTTTTTCCTGTCTAATGTAAACTATATGTAAAACCTTAAACTATACACATTTTTCTCCATATATATTACTATATCCATCAATTCCCTAACCATAAAAAATAACTAAATAATGTGTCCATGATCACTTGAATCTCCAACATTGGATTTAGATATCAAAATAAGCATAGCCAAAACTTGTTTCATATTTGGCCTACCATTTGCTGCCTCATTTGTACATTTCAAACCAATACATAGCAATTCAACCATTTCCTCTGAACCCAAATAACTCAACAAATGATGATATTGTTGTTGTTTTCTTCCCATCATAACACGCCTCGTCCATTCGACCAAACATTCTTCATCTCCATCCACTGCTCTTCTACCTGTAGCCAATTCCATAGCCAACACGCCGTAACTATAAACATCGCCTTTTGTAGTAGCTTTCATTGTTTGTCCATATTCAGGTGCAACATATCCAATGGTTCCGGCTACCATTGTACTCACATGACTATCACCAACATTAACAACTCTTGCTAGTCCAAAATCGGTTACTTTTGCTTTACCTTCTTTGTCAAGCAACACATTACTAGCCTTCACGTCTCTATGAACAATTGAAGGGTCACATTCATGGTGTAAATAGACAAGCGCACGAGCAACATCGATGGCTATTTGTAGTCTTTTCTTCCATGTCAAACGTGTTTTATCGGTTACTAGATCTTCTAAGCTTCCGCCTTCTATGTACTCATAAACAAGTATCTTTTCTGAATTGTTTAAGCACCAACCGTAGAGTGTGACGAGATTCGGATGGGGCCAACCGAAACCATGACCGCTTAGAACTTCCATTTCAGCTTGGAATTCCTTTTCGCCTTCGCGTCCTTCGCTTAGAAGCTTCTTCACTGCTACTTCTCTACCGTCTGAGAAAAATCCCTTGTATACTGTTCCAAATCCACCTCTTCCTATGATTCTGTTTTCTGAGAAAGTGTTTGTTGCTTTCAAAATGTCTGCATAGGTGAAAGCTGTCTTGTTTAAACGAATCACTTTTACCGAATCAGATAGCCATTGCTGAAATTCTATTCCTGAGCTGCTTGAGTCATTGCAGTGTTTTGCATGATCCCTCAAGAGATATTGATCTGATGGAGTTTTGACTAATGCACAGACAATTATTGTCAGAAAACTAAATATGATAAAAACAAGTGTTATGGCTAAAAACACCAAAAACACATACAATTTTGTAGGCTTTTTATGGTCTTTGTTGTGAGCCATGTTTTTATCGTTTCTCGTGGTACTATTGTCGATGAACTGAGGAAGGATCAAAAGAGGGTCACCAAAATATGAATCTTTACCAAAAGTAACAAATTGTCCACTTGGTGAAACCACACCTTGTATGAAGGGATTGTATGAGATGTTGAACTTGTTAAGCTCGGACACTTTGTTCAAACTTGATGGAAAATTCCCCGAGAAGTTGTTTCGAGACAAATCAAGATTTTGCAAGCAAATAAAGTTTCCAATTTCCGTCGGAATTTCACCTGAAAAATTGTTTGTAGTCAAGTTCAAGACCACAAGTGGAATATTTCCCAACTCTGGTGGAAGTTTCCCAGAGAATCTGTTGAATCCCATATGCAACAAACTGAAATTCACCATAGTTCCAATCTCTGAAGGAATTTCACCACTTAGTTTGTTTCCACTTAACTGAACATAACCAGATATCAAAGGTAATCTTAGGGAAGACCCTGGTGTGCAAAATGGGAAAATTCCATACCCTTTTAGCAATTTATTCCAAAGTCCTCTACAGTTTTTTCTTGTTAAAATATCATACACAAAGCTGAATGGAGGGTAATCTGCAGGAATCCATCTCCTCATTGCTAAACATTCACCAGAACCAGCAACCATTCCGTCTTTTCGCCTATTAAATTCAAATGTTTCCATCGCGTTCTTTCCAATTTTGGAAATCTCTCGAGGAAACGTTCCAGTGAGGTTATTGTTGGCAAGGTTTAACCATAACAAACTAGAACAGTTCCCTAACTCCGAAGGGATAGTTCCGTTTAATGAATTGTCTGCAAGCATCAACCACAAGAGTGATGTCAAGTTTCCAAGGCTTGGAGGAATCGGTCCACTCAACCGGTTGAAAGCAAGATCAAGTGCTTGCAAATTATGCATATTTCCAAATTCTGATGGAATAGTTCCATTGAATTGGTTATATGATAACATTAAAAGTTCTAGACTTTGCATATGAGAGATCTCAACAGGTAATGGACCTGAAAACCCGTTGAAGCTAAGATCTAACCGCGTAATATTCGGCAATGTGAAAATTCCAGATGATAACAATCCTCCAGTGTATGAGTTGGAGTGTAACAGAAGAAACCTAACCTGAGTAAAATTTCCAAATATCTTTTGTATGTCACCACCAAAATTGTTTCTGCTGAAATCCAAGAAAACCAAGTTACTCAATTTCAAAAGTGTCTCAGGAACATCTCTTGAAAAGTTGTTTCCTCCCAAGTACAATCCTTTAAGCAATGAAATGGACCCAATTTCAACAGGGATAGCTCCAGTAAAATTGTTGCTTGAAAGATTCAACATGGTTAAATTCTTGCAGTTAGAAATTTGCTTTGGTGCCTCACCAACAAAGCCATTTTGAGAAAGGTCTAACTCCACAAGCTCACAACTCAACGGAAAAGCTTCGGACGAAACGTTTCCATTGAGAAGATTCTCAGCAACAGAAAACTGCTTCAACCTTGCAAATCCATTCCATATACCTCCACTCAGCTTATTAGTACTCAAATCCAAGTACTTCAAACTCAAACACTTATCAAAACTATCACCAATCTCACCAGTTAAGTTATTACCCGAGATATTCAAAGTGACCAAATTTTCACAAATGGAAGGAAAATCCAACAGCCCAATTTGTCCATGAAATCTATTCAAAGACAAATCAAGTGTTATCAAATTTCTCAATCCAGTAACATTCAATTCTCCCTCAAGAATATTATGAGAGAGATTAAGATGCAACAGCTTGCGACAGTTTCTCAAATCCTCGGGAATATTTCCAAAGAGTGTATTCTGCGAAAGATCAAGATGAGTTAACTGAGTCAGCTCGGAAAAGCTTTGAAATATCTCTCCAGTGATGTCACTGGAAGAAAGATCAACCGAAATCACCCTCTTTTCTTCGCTACACAAAATTCCTTGCCATTCACATGGACTAGAATCCGAACCATCACTGTTCCAATATATGTACTTTCCTCGGTCTGCAAGAGTTTTATTGTCTAGATACTTTTTCAACCTCAACAGAATCTGTTTGTCTGTGTCTAAAGAATCTCCAACCACAACAACACTACCTAGGAAAATTAAAACAATAATCATATCAATAACAATAACAATAAGAATAACAGATGGTGATTATTTTATTGAGAAAGTAAGTACCTGAAAGAAGGATGAAGGAAAATAGTAGAAATAGATAGGAAGAGGAATGTGTTTCCTGCAACTCTGACATTTATGTTTTTGTTTTGGTTACTCTGGATCCTGTTGTTTTTTGTTTATTGAGCAAAGGACAAGACGTAGGTTAAGAATAAAATAAGAATGAGAGAACACGAGCATGCGAAAGTTGAATAGATTGGAATGGAAGTTTGAATCGTAACAAGATGCTACCTACTTTTCACCTTGTGTTGTGTTATGGTAATTAATATTATTTATAATCAAAATTGAATGGTTTGTTAGTTAGTTGACAAATGTGGAATGAGTTGCAATTTTTATACTTTTGGGTATTTCTTTATGGAATGAGTCAGAATCATAAGGCAAGGGGAGGGAATAGAATAAAGAAAGAAGCTTGCAGTATTTAGATAGAGGTGACCGCTCGAGCCGACGTTGTTGACCGGTTCGATTGGTTCGACCGGGTTTGAGTGTTGACCCAAGATGGACGGTGCACGGTTTGTTGGTTATAGATATGATATGAAAATGAAATTCAGAATAACGCCGCCGTTATCTCAGTTCAGCATTAAAAAGGTTTTCATGGGAGTGAATTTCGTGGATGAGGGAAAAAGAGTGTGGTTTTCATCGTGTGCGTGTGATTTAAGACGAGTGAATTTTGCTTTTTCAACTGTGATAAAGAAAATGGGTATTTTCAAAGTATCATGTTCTAAGAGGTTCATTGAAGTTGAGATTTGACAATGTGCCTTTGGTTGAACAAAGACCATATTCTAAATCGATTCAAAACTAGTGCCTTGAAGATGGAAAGTCACAGTATAGTCATTGCTTCTATCATCATATAATCACCTACTAGTGATTAGACTGGTTTTTTTTAGACTAGGTTTTATCCGACTTAGTTTTAAAGAATTTTGTTGTTATTCTTTAAAGTTTATAACAATGTTACGGAATACAAAATAAAGATTTTGGGTTAAATATATAAATTTTCTCTGTAATGTTAGCGAGTTTAGGTTTTAATTTTTCGAAAAGTTTTTTTTTATTTTAATTTTCTCTTTATGTTATGTAGATTATCTCAAATCACTCCACTAATCAGATGTCATGGAATCTTTAGTAACATTTTGAAATTTTTGCCACGCGCTATTTCTATTTTAGCCACATGGCATTTTTATTTAATCATTACCTTGTCCAGTTGGTATTTACATTTTCTATTCGTTATACCCCCTTGCAAAATTAGGGTTTATGTGAGAAGTTTGTGTTGCGAAGAGGACGACTCCATAGGCGACGAAGACAAGGTATCCGTTGACGACGAAGACGAAGACGAAGACGAAGCTTGCAATGTCTAAGGTATGTTGATTTTGAAACTTCATCACAATTAAAATGTAATACGGTGGGAGCTTTATGATAACTGATTTTGATTTATTCACAAGATTTCCAATCTTTTACCGTTACTTTTCACCATGGGGATGAATTTATTAGAGTTAACCCGACTGAAATTATTTACAAAGGGGGGGGGGGGGGGGGTTGATTCGACTGTAAATGGGCTTGAAGTTACTAATTGGACAATGGATCATATTATGAAGTTGGTGAGCGGGTGGGGGTATAAAAATGAAACTTTTCGTTTATGGACTAAAGTTTAGAGATTCAAGAAGGATATATTTTGATAAAAAAAGGATGATGATGCATACGATTTTGCATCATTCTTTAGTGCAATGAATATCATTGGACATTTATTTGTGGAACATTCTCTGGGAGACTTAGATGCTGATGATACAGAACCTAATTGTGTCAATGAGGTGAATGAAATGGATGGGTTGGAAGAGGAGATGGTTGAAGGTTTAGATGATAGTAAAGATGAGAGAGTTATTGCTCTTCTTGATGGATTTGAAGGAATCGATGTTACATTGCCATTGAGTGAAGATGTAAGTCTTAGTGGGCTTTTTGGTAGGCCCTCATAAGGGATTTGATGATGGGAGCTGCTAAAGCTACATACTATCAAGCATGGTCCCAGAAGATGAATGAATTGAAGAAAGTCGACCCAAATGCTTGGACTTGGTTGATGGCAGTCCCTACCAAGAGTTGGTGTAAGCATGCCTTCACTTTTTACCGTAAATGCGATGTTTTGATGAATAACATATATGAATCCTCAAATGCTACAATACTACCTGCTAGGGACAAACCTGTACTGACTATGTGTGAGTGGATAAGGAAATATCTTATGAATAGGTTGTTTACATCTGTCACCAAACTAGAAAAGTGGCAACATAAAGTGATGCCAATACCTATGAGAAGGTTAGATAATGAAATGTACAGCAGTGGACATTGGCTGCCAACATGGTCCATGGCTAAGCAATTCCAAGTCACCCATACTTACAACCACAACGAGTTTATTATTGACATAGCTAAAAGGTCATGTAGCTGCAACTTCTAAGACTTAGTAGGAATACCTTGTAGGCATGTTCTGGCAGCTTTGAGTTATATGAAGCAAAACCCCTGTGACTTTGTTGATGAGTGTTACAACAGAGAAAATTTTTCACTTTGTTATGGATTTTCAATAAGCCATATCAATGGTCAGGATGTGTGGCAAGAAGTAGAAATGGAACAAGTTTTACCACCGTCATACAAGAGAGGTCCATGAAGGCCTATGAAGGTAAGGATAAGAGAGCTTGGAGAGGAAGGTGAAAGAAGAAGAAGACACGGGGTTGCATATAAGTGCTCAAAATGTGACAAGTTTAGCCATAATGCATTGACTTGCAAGTCATTGACACAAGATCCCAATGCTTTAAAAAGAAAGGTATAATTGTTTCTCAAAATTCATTCTGTTGTACAAAATTGTTTGTGACTAATCTAACATGTTATTATTTGTGTAGAGGAAAGTTAAAAATTCTGCTAAAGCTGAGAGGACAGTTCAAACTGATGTACAGAGTGCATATCATAATGCTGGAGAGAAATATGTTCAAACTGATGTACATAGTGCATATCATAATGCTGGAGAGAAATATGTTCAAACTGATGTACATAGTGCAAATCATAATGGTGGAGAAAATTCAGTTCCTACTAATGGACATAGTACAATGGTTATCGATTCTACATTGCCCAATGATTCTTAGACTGGATCTGTTGTGGCTACTCAATTCCCAGGCAATCAAAGGAAACAAAAAAGAAATAAGCCAGTTACCGAAAGAAGGAAAAGTGAAAGGATCAAGTTGAGTTGGTTTAAGAAACCAATTACAGCCCCAAGATCTAGTGAGGAGCCAAATACCATACCAGAAGTTGGAGAGAAGTCAGGTTCAAAAGACTCCAAACTAGGAGTGAAAACAAGGTTTATGAAGACATGGAAGACCAAAAAAATTAGAGACTAAGTTTAATGTTATCTTGTAATAGACCTAATTAATTTATGTGCCTTTTATTTGCTTATATTAATATTGTGATAGACATATGCACCAAGTGTGCCTTTTGTATCTTTTTGGTAATGCTGTAATATACATATGCACCAAGTGTGTCTTTTGTGTCCTTTTGGTAATGTTGTAATAGACATATGCACCAAGTGTGCTTTTGTTAATCTAACTTATTTTAACTATGCTGTCAAAATTTCATGTAAATTCACTGTCAATGAATGTAACTTGAACTAAATTCGACATAACTTAAATTTTCATTCAACAAGAACTGGTTTGAATTACAATTACCATTGAAATGGACAACAAAAATTAGACTTTAATTCAACACAAATTGGCATGTCTTACAATTACAAACCATGACAGACCAAGTTCCAATTACAAACCATAACAAATACTTAAAATCATACACAACTGCAAAAAACATCCATGACAAAACAATTGCAATCAACATCCATAAATTCTTTGTCTTTTTCAATGCAACCTTTCTCTTCAAATTTTCCACCTTGTTTGATCTCTTCTCAACAATCTCCTTTGCAAATTCTCACAAATAACCCTTGCTCATGTCACATTCGCAACATCTGGATGAATTCACTTCAGCCTCGCTAACCATTTCGTCCCAGAGAAACAAACCGCAACCATTTTGCATTTTCCCAATATTAAAACATAAATAACTGTGAAGATTCATATAAGAGGAATTACAATCTTATAAACAGCTCACCATGGAATTTCTCCTTGAATTTTTGAGGGTGTTAGATACCCACAACTTCATGGTTTCGTTGCAGCCACATCATGGAAAACCCTTACTTGTTGATGAATACTTACTTCCACCCATAACAACCGGACGATTGTAGGCGACAGATGCTTCAAAAGAATCGACCTCAACAACAGACAAAACAAGGGGAAAACGAACCCTAAGGATTAAAGCTCTTCGCAGTACAAACTTCTTCACATAAACCCTAATTTTACAGGGGGTATAAAGAATTGGAAACGTAAATAACAACTGGGCAAGGTAATGATTAGATAAAAATGCCATGTGTGTATATAGAAATAGCACGTGGCAAAAATTTCAAAATGTTACTAAAGATTGCATGACATCTGGCTAGTGGGGGTGATTTGAGGGAATCTACATAACATAAGAGGGGAGTTAAAAAAAACTTTATGAGAGGCTAAAACCTGAATTCGCTAACATTACAGGGGGAATTTGTCTATTTAACCCAAAAAATTTACATTGAAATATTTTAATATTTAAAAAAATTTAACATACTTATTCAGAATCAATCTTTGTCTTCAAATTTTGTTGGAGAATGTGGACATAAATGAGTGTTCAAATCTAAATACATATATTTTAATATTTTTTATTTTTTATTTTAGATTATGTATTACATTAAGTTATTATTAGTTAATTTTAAATTTGTATTATAAATTGTTAGTGTTACATTTGTTCATAACCTTATATGAGAATGAAAACAAAAGCGTATATGAGTTTATCATTGGAAATGATTTAAGGTTACCGGGTATGTGATCTTCTAATTATAGAGTTCCTTATGACTCCTTGAATCTCCTCTGATGGGGATGAAGAGAGAATTTTACTGATAAGTTGTTTTCACGTTGTCTACAAATGGGGACCATAACCCCTTATAAATAACATTCGAGTTATTTCTTAGTTTTCAATATT